TGCAATGACGCCAGTTTTCATACTCTCCTTTGTGGATCGCAGTATATCGCTAGTATGGCGTGCAATGACTAGCTTGATGACCTTTTCCATGGAAAGATTTGTCCAATCAAAGGCAAAATTTGCATCCTTGACTTCTTTTCCTTGGCGGAACCATCGGGTGGTTAGAGAAGGTATTGGTGGTCCTTTCCACGAGGATTTGGCGTTGTTCAGCCTATTGTTGGAGACGCCGATTTCGATCCAGTTCTTTTTGCCGGGCTTGTTAGTCCAGTATTGCACGACAAGCAAACGATGCACGGGCTCGACCTTGATGGAACCTGCCCACCCGGCACGAACAAGAGCAGCGGCCTGTGAGCGCAGAACCGAGATTTTGTGCGTTAGAACAAAGTTGTTCAAAAAGTCAAAGAGTCCCGAGAGACCTTTGTCCTTGAGCACAAAATCGGCCTGCTGTTTGAGCTGCATGAAGAAACGGCTTCCGACGGTCACAGTGGGCGCCGGGGTGAAGAGCAATCGCAAATCAATAAGAAACCATTGTTCTGAAGCATCTTCAACGAAGGACATGACATCGAATTCTAATTGGCCCTTGACGATAAAGGTAACTCGGCCAGAGTGGATGCGCCAGTTGCGGAGGTGTCGGGGCAGATTTTCGTGTACATTGAGGCGAATGGAAAGGGAGGTGTTCATATATCTCAGCAGTTTTAGGGCTTCGTCCGAGGAGATTGGTTTGGGGGGGATATAGTCGAGGCTTGGCATCCAAGCAGCCTTGCCGGTGGACAGCACTTGGAGGGCAGTCGCAATGTCTGGGTTGTTCTCCCTGGCAATGTTGGAGAGCATCTTGATGCGCTCGAGCTGGTCGTCGGCGGCATCCATGTTGCGGGCGTGCGCACCGGCCCACGAGAAGATGTCGATGAGCTTTGAGATGTCCGAGGCGGCCTTCTTGCCCCATTCGGTAAGGACTAGCAGCTTGATAAATTTGGAGCGCTGTTCCTGCGCAAACTGGAGGAGCATGAGTTTTTTCCTCTTGTTGGATTCAGCGCTGCCCTGCATGTTGGCGGCGCCAAGGCCGTTTGGGAGGGCGCCGTTGGCCATGGGCGCGACGGGCAGAGCAGCCATTTTCTGCAGGATGGAGGTCAAGTCATTGTAGGATTCCTGGGATACGCGCAGCAGCAGGGTCGAGAGGGCGTTGTACTGCTCGGGGCCAATGTGGGCGATTTCGGGGGGCAGCTGGGAGTACTTGTCGAGCGCGGTGGATGCAGCGGACGCGCCATTGGGGGCAGCGGTGCTGGAGTCGCCATGGCGAGAGGCCGTGGCAGCGTCGGACGCGGTGTGGTTCATGATGAGAATGCCTGGCATGCTACGCCGCCAGAGCAGCAGCCCCCGGGCGCCTTGGCCGCACCCGCTGTGCGCGCGCCTGGTGGCAAGACGGGCAAGACAGGCAAGACGGCTGCGCTGCTTGGGGAGGACGAGAAGGCGATGGGGATGCGGGCGTGCAGGTCAAAGGCGAGGCGAGGCGAGGCGAGAGTTGGATGCGACGCGCAGGGCCTGGCGGCTGGGGGTGAGGGCGCGGCGGGCGGACGGGGCGCGAGGGTGAAGACAAAGGAGCGGAGGGTTTGGGCGCGGGAGGGCGACTATGGCATTGTCGGCTGGGGCGGTTAGAGAGGGTGCTGGCGTGGATGGGGCTCGTCGGGCGGTGGGTGGGTGGGGATGCAAAGAGGGTGAGGTTGAAGGGCGAGACATCACATCAGCCCTGGCCTGGCCGGGGGGGGCCGTCTTGGCGTGCATTCCAGGGCGAGTCAGGCCGGGCAGGCGCAGGCGGGTGTGTCGACGTAAGTATTTGTTTACCTACGTATGTGTGTGTGTGTCTATGCAATAAATAGTACTTACTGTGTGGATGGGCATATCTGTTAAATGCATACACCCCTCGGCACATGTAGATAGACGTGAATACACAATACACCTGCAAATGCACCCACATCCACCGCACACAGCATCAGCCCACGGCCAGCGCAGCCCATCGTCACACGTCCAGACAGGTCGTCGCCCGCCCAGCAGCGACCATGGGATCGCCCGCTGTCGACCCAACAAGCCCACCCCCCCAGCTGGCTGGCTGGCACATCCACACATGCCTCGATACACACACACACACCCTCTTCCTCCCACAGATCCAGCTAGCCTCTTCCTGGCCATTGGGCGGCTGGCGTCTGCTGCGCATTTATCCGCCGCCTCTCCCTTCCCTTCGCAATGTCTCTGTCGCGGTGACGCTTCCTCCGCCAATTAGTGTAAGCCCTGCTTGCTTCCATGGCACCGCGCGCGCCCGAGCTTCCGCCCTACCAGCGACCAGCCATCACCCGAAATGCCTCGTCCCAGTCAAAGGCCTCGGTCCTCTCCATCTCCCAGTCCAACGAGGCAGACGATGAGCAGAGCCTGTCTGACCATCACCACTTCGACATGGAGGCTGCCCCAGACCGCCCCCACTACCATGGCGAGGACACGCGCCTAACCAGCGACAAGGAGCTCCGCGGCTTCTACATGTACGGATGGGCCGCTGAGGTACTTACCATGCATCCTGCCTCCATCTCCATCTCCATCTCCACCATCGCCATCACCATCGCCCTCCCCACACCCCACTAACCCTGCCCAGGTCTTTGTCGTCTGTGGAATTGGCTCCTTCATACCCGTCACCCTCGAGCAGCTTGCCCGCGAAAATGGTGTCCTGCTTGCCGACCACTCCACGCCATGCAAGGCCACAATACCCGCCGTATCGCCCACCAGTGCCTTGTCCACCTCTCCCATTGGCAGCTTGTTCAAACCAGGCCCCGAAAAGGGACAATGCGTAGTCTACATCCTCGGCGTTGAAATCAACACGGCCAGTTTCGCCATGTACACGTTCAGCATATCCGTCCTCATACAGGCTCTGCTGATCATTAGTATGAGCGGCGCCGCCGACCACGGCAGGCTCAGAAAGACTTTCCTCCTCTATTTCGCCTTCATCGGCAGCATAGCCACCATGCTGTTTCTGCCTGTAGTCCCGAGCATTTATATCCTGGGCGCATTCCTCGCCATCGTCGCAAACACATGCTTCGGCGCAAGCTTCGTCCTGCTCAACAGCTTCTTGCCCTTACTCGTGCGCTTCCACCCCACCGTCAAGTATGCAGACACTAGCGCCGCAACCTCCTTCATTGACAGAGAAGAAGAAGACGACGACGACGACGGCGACGACGAGGTTGACGACGAAGTCACGACCGAAGAAGACGACGAAAGAGGCGGAGAAACGCCCACTCAGGAAAACATAGTCCGAGATGCACGTTATGCTAATCACCTTGCCGAACGCGAAGGTCTCCTTGAAGAAGTTGCAGATGTCACGACGGCACTGCTCCCCCATACTCCGCCAAGCGTCGACCTGACCATCCCAAGGGCAAAGGCCTCCAACGCTTCCTCGGTCGAACTTTCCCTCGCTACCAAAATCTCATCCTACGGCATTGCAATTGGATACATTGCCGCCCTGCTGGTCCAAACTGTGGGCATCCTCGTAGTCATTGCTTTCAAGTCCTCAAACTTTGGTCTTCGCCTGGTTCTTTTCATCATTGGCGCATGGTGGTTCGTCTTCACTCTCCCGACCGCCCGTTGGCTTCGACCTCGCCCCGGCCCACCCTTGCACATTGGGGAGCAGACGTCCAATTTCCGCACCGCCCTCGCATACTTTAGCTACTCGTGGAAGTCGCTCGGCCGTACGGTAACCCATGCTCGCCATCTCAAGGACGTCCTGCTTTTCCTTGCAGCATGGTTCCTGCTATCAGACAGCATAGCCACAGTCTCAGGCACAGCAGTCCTCTTTGCAAAGACGACACTCGGAATGCCGTATGCCATGTTGGCACTCATCAACGTCATTGCAACCGTCTTTGGCGTTCTAGGCGCCTTTCTCTGGTCACGCCTCTCGTCCTTCTTCCACTTGTCGCCCACGCAAACCATCCTGCTTTGCATCTTGCTCTTTGAAACCATTCCCATCTACGGACTTCTTGGCTATATCCCAGCAGTCCAGCGATTGGGATTCTTAGGTCTACAGCAGCAATGGGAGATGTACCCTCTGGGTGCCGTTTACGGTTTTGTGCTCGGCGGCCTCAGCAGCTACTGCCGTGCACTATTCGGTGAACTCATTCCTCCGGGCTATGAAGCGGCCTTTTATGCCTTGTACGCCATCACCGACAAGGGCAGCAGTGTCTTTGGTCCCGCCATAGTAGGCGCAATTACAGATGCCTATGGAGAAATCAGACCGGTATGTTTTCCTCTTCCTTTTTCATCATAGATTTCAGTAAGCTAATTTCCCTCTTCAAACAGGCCTTTTGGTTCCTAGCCATCCTTGTCGGTCTCCCTTTTCCCATTATGCTGCTTGTCAACGTAGACCGCGGCCGCACAGAGGGCGCGGCTCTAGCAAAAACACTGGCCCAACTCGCCCGTGTCAGCGATGCCCTCGACGACCTTGACGCCCAAGATACCCTGTCCGAGGAGATTCGAAATGATCTCCACGGCTCCTTTTCCTATCAGCGTGGCAGACAAGATCTTTGATCCCATCTGCCACCTACTCGCCCTTCCTTTTATATATATATATATATACATATATAATTTTTGCATACCAGATACGTCTCTGTTGAATCCACCTTTGATGCTTTGTTGCTTGGCATATTGATTCCCGTCATGGCATGTGGGTAGGTGTTTGCATTGCACAAGGGCGTTTTCTTATTTCTTGTCACTACATCTGTTGCACTCTCGTGTCACCTCAAGATATATAAGGACAGATTCTGGATACCTAATTGTATATATTAAATTACCACAATGGGACAATGACTATTAGATTGAACATTAGATTGGACATGAGTAGTTGGTCTCGTGATTGTATTTGCTCTCATATCTTCTTTGATTTCCCCCCCTCGTTTTGACATCTCTCTCGCCTGTTCATGTATAGCGTGGTGATGCATTTCGTCTTTGCTCACCACACATGGATCCCACTACCCATCCAAATCAAACATCTCCCTGTGCTCCTCTCTCGCCTCATCATCCGGCAAGTTATCCGCAATAATCTTCCACATTTCACGCGCAATCTTCTCTCGATTCTTAGCCGTCCTCATGCTCTCCCTCCACGTCTGCTCAATCGCCTGACGCTCCGCTGGTGTAACCTACATGTGTTCATGTCTTGTCAGCAAGTTTATCTTCTTCGTCTGAAAATAACCCCCCTCCCCCCCTCCTCCTCCAATCATGTCAATGGCTAAGTAATAGAGAAGAGACCAAATCTCACCATCCTTGCCTTCCCCTTCCTCAACCCATCCAGCCTCTTTTCAATCTCCGCCTTTTCCTTCTCCAACGAATCCACATTTGCAATCAAATCCGCCGTGCTCAGCGTCGACGTCACAGACGCAAGCGTACACCGTAGCGTCTTGGCCGTGGCGTTTAGAGCGGCGGTTTGCGCGCGCAGATTGGCTATTTCGGTCTCGAGGGCTGCGAGTTGCTCCGTTGTACATGTGTCTGCTGCGTCCTGCATGAATCTCAGATTTGTTGACTTTGTGGGAGGAAAAAAAAGGAAAGGAAAGGGGAGGGGGGGGGGGTTGAGGAAAGGAGTTTGATGACATACCTGGAGAGCATGATATACAATCTGCTTCCCTATATTCGTATAAAAATGGTATCAGTTGCCCCGTTGCATATACCGTTCGAACAAGGTCAAGGTCACAAAGCAAAGATGGTACTTGACGTACCTGCCGTCCGTCCCTCAATCAACTTTTGCTCGTGTAAATCCTTGAGAATTTTTGCTGCGGCAGCTATTTCATCCGTCAGTTTTGTCTGCATCAAAGGGGACATCACAGCATATTCGTGCCTCAAGAAACACACCTTTGGTTACTTTGTTGTGCAGATTTGCTGAGACGTCGATGGCAGAGTACGGGCGGTTCTGCTTGCCTACGCAAACAGTGTTAGTATGGAAAACAAGTCTTGTAGTACATGTGTATATATGTGTGTGTATCTCAGAGGAAGAGGTACTTACGCAGGTAGAGTAGCACCATATCTGCTGCTTCATTGGCTGAGGCCTTTTCTTCAGTCTTCTTACGTGGCGCCATCTCAAACTTTTCAGGTGTACGGAATGAGAGAGTGAATAGTTTTGGTTGAAAGAATAAAAAGTTTGGATTCCTCACTGTGAGACAGAGTGCCAAGTCTCGAGTATGTCGTAGCAGGAAGGAGTCACCCCCGACCGAGGCAGGAGCGAGTGTTGGGCTACTACCCTCCTCCCTTGGGATCTTTCCAGACTTGCAAATGAAGCATCTGCTATTATATTTCTCCGTACCCTTTATCATAGACCCAATAATGTACAACTAATCACTATATCTAGGTGATTGATCCCTTAACCTCCGCGCTCACCATACTGCGCAGCCCAATCTTCAAATTCCTTCAATCCTTGTTTGCTTACAGATGGTCGGATCGTCTGAAGACTAGCCTCAAAGTCTCGATATTGTATCGGTCGGATCTGATCCATAGTCATGGAAAGCAATTTTTCCCCTAGTGAACGTAAAGGACCCATAGCAGCGTCTTTGGCAAGTGCAGTGATATCCGACCCAGAGAAGCCTGTTATGGTATCAGTCATTTGCCCAAAAAAACATTGATCGCGTACACTCACCTTCAGTCAGTTCTACCAAACGATCGAGGTCCTCATCACTAAGCTCATGCTTCTGATGGCTCAGTAGCGTCTTGATCTGCTGCTTCCTAACCCAGTCCTCTGGCAGTGGAATGTATTGTCGCCTTACAAATCTTCGTCTTGCTGCTTCGTCAATAGCCCATGGGAGATTGGTTGCAGCCAGCACAAGCACTCTGCTAGCATCGCCTTTCTCCTTCTCCCGTTCAGTCACTGCACTTCCAGCAGCCGCCTTTTGCAAATCAGACCACTGAATGAGAAATTCAGTCTTGATGCGGCGTGTTGCCTCGTGTTCCCCAGAGCTGGATCGTGACGAAAGAAGTGAATCAATCTCGTCAACAAAAATGATTGATGGTGCAAGCATCTTTGCCAACTGGAACAACGCACGAACAAGTTTCTCTGATTCGCCCAGGAATTTGGACGTTAGACTGCTTGCAGAAATGGCGAAAAATGTCGACTTTGACTCAGTTGCCACCGCTCTTGCCAACATTGTCTTTCCGGTTCCCGGAGGTCCAAAGAGAAGCATACCGCGTGCTGGCTCTCGCAGACCCATGAACAGATCCGGCCTCAAAAACGGATAAACCACTGTTTCCTTCAAAGCTGATTTTGCAACCTCCAATCCCGATACATCGTCCCAGTGTACTTCGTCTCCCTGTATCACAATCTCGTTTAGGATTTGCTGCGCTGCTTGCTTATCGACACCTCGTGGAAGATTCTTCATGATTTCTTCCGTTCGTCTTTTCCATTCGTCCGTCTCTTCTACTTCTTCGTCGCCCTCTGCACTGTCCATGCTCGGGGTATCAGGTAGCTCTGCGCGAATCGAGTTTCCTCTACCTCTGACCTTTTGTACTGGAGACTGTCTTTGTTTGGCAACGTTCTCGTCAGCTTCAATTGCTATAGATTCAGGCAGATCGTCTTGATCCGAATCAGTTCGTGTGCGCGTGTTGTTATTCGCAGGTTTCGGTACTAGCCGTCTTGTGGTTGGATCCCACATGACACTCCCCTTTCCACCTCCTCTCTCAACACCGCAGTCACCATACGAGTGTGCCGCTGCCGATGCAGCAAGATTTCGCGGATCAGGCATAGTTTTGGGATATTCGTTTCGGTACGAAGGCAATGCTATGCTTCCCAATGGTGTACCCACCAATCGCCCTGAATCTACTGACTTTCGGGGAATTGGCGGTGCTGCTCGCTCAGAAGCTCGAGTTCTGGTAGGCTGAGGCTCATTATCGTCGATAGGGTTTGGAGCTGCATAAGCAGTAGATGCCGAGCGTTGGTCAGGTCGGGAAGAGAGCGGTGCTTGTACATATGGCAGTTGCGACTGAGTATTTGAGGATATACTCGGCCTCTCAGCAGCTGACTTGTCTATTGATGATCGTACTGAAGCAATCGTTGAAGAAGTTGACGGGTTTGACGGGCCTAAAACAGGGCGACTCGAAGCTGATGCGGTCCTGACAGTCCATGCTTGAGTAGCTGCTTTGGAAGCATCAGGGCGGCTCCTCAACGAATTAGGCATCTTTCCTGATGATGACTTGCCCTCCCTTCCTGGCCTCAGTGTCCGCAACAATCTACCGCTTTTCTCTGGGGATGGTGTACGCGCTTTGTTCTCGCCTACAGGCCCTGGAGACAAATTCGATGCGCTCCGAGTTTGCGATAAGCTGTTTTCTCGCGTTGACCCATTGCCGGAGCTTTTGCGAGACGCCATAGCAGGGCGCAAAGGTAGCGGTGGTCGTGAGAGATCGGTATAATCCAACGGCGGTATAGAGCCACCCCCGAGCCACGAAGAAGACGGGTTTGCTCCATTTGGGGACTGAGACGCTCCATGAGATGGTGCGACTGGTGTATTCGTGTCAGACGACACTGAGGTCAAGCTTTCCCTCGAATCCTCTCGGCTCCTTTTCAAGGTTTCCAGAAGATCTACGCGCTCCTTGCACTGTAGTTCCAGCTGACGTAGCGATTCGATGAGCGCTCTCTCTGTTTCGGTTGCGGGGCGGTACGTCGAGGGGTTGCGACGAGAGTTGTGGTAATTGATATGGTCGAGGGCTGTCCTCCAAGATCGCAATGCTTCTGGCTCGTTGTTCTATGAGGACTCTGGTTAATGTTCTCCATCGTACGCGACATTGTTAGGTTGACAGGCGCTGACCTGGCTCTCAAAGTACACTGCGGTCGAACAGGCCAAGAAAGCCTCATCGTAGGCTTTCTGGGTGGTATTGGCGCGCATAGCGAAGGAAGTAGATATGGCGCGCCCACTCTAAGCTGGTGTAGGATGCGGAGACAGGAATAGGTGTCTATCACCAAGGCCCGGGCTGGTATTGGCAGGGTCGTCTGTTGCATGCGCCAGCCTTAGCTTCGCGCTGGGGCGTGACGTAGTAGGTTGCTGCCCAGTGCATATTCGCAACCTTGAAGGCTGAGCAACGGCAACCGAGCAAAACAAAACAAGCTGCTGCGGTGGCGTTTTTCAAGCATGGGCAACCCAACACCATAAGTCAGGTTCAACTTCATGAATGCTTGCACTCGCAAAAGAAATCCACGAGACAAGCGCATGTGCATGCGAAAGTGGGGTACATGACCAGAGACTAAACAGGAGCGGGCCGTTGTCTATCGATTACGCACCTACAGAGAAGCTTACTACAGTGGATATAAATGTTCAAAAAAGAACAGAAACAACGTAAAGCTTCCAAGGCTGTTGCAAGACTATGTTAGGTGCAAGAGCACTGCCGTTTGCGCAACGAAAAACAAATTGTGCATGTCATGAACAAGTCGACAGATGTGTCGTGAGCGGTGCCGGTCTTGAATTTCTCCTATGGTACAATTATCTGCGCAAGCCACCATGCGCTCACATAACCAAACGTTGAGACACTGCCAGATGAAGCGTTTGGAAGAGTCTCGAAGCCTCTCTCACTACACAATGCCAAGTAAGGAGTGTGGCAACACATCTTCTCGCTCTGCCCGTTCTATACAGAATGCTGGACCTCGTCGCAAATGCCCAGTACTGCAGTAATATCCTCTCCGCGGCGCCGCAGGTATATTATTCGATTTGCAAAGCGCGCACCGTCATGCTCTAGCGATTTTTGTAAATGAGGCCTGGGAAAGGGGCCAGTGTGCATCGTCGTCTCGTTATATAGCCGTGGACGAGTTCGTACTTCTCCGAATAAAGAAGGCCTTCGCCATCTCGTATGCAGACCTGCTTTGGGTTAGAAATTACCAGACTAGGCGAGTTGCAAGAGAACTTACCAGCAAATGGCAGTGCTAGGCATCGTGGTGATGATTCGAGGCTTCAAGCCACGGAAATATCCTCTATATCCTTCTCTTTGGTGGATGATCTTTGCAGCTTGTACCAAACCCGAGACGTTCTTCAATTCCACATCCCTAGCATTTCCTCGCGTTTGTAACAGCGTCTTGATAACATCGAGTGGTGTGGTAAGGCCTGCTGCAAATCCACCTGCAACGCCGCCCGCGAAGCAATGTGTATAGGGATCGTATCGGCCGGTAGGGTTCATGACTTTGGATAGAGATTCGTATGCCATGAATTGTAGAGCCGTAAAGGGGACCGTCATGCATAGTGTTGTGGGGTAGGAAACGTAGAATGCGCCAATGCCCTCTGTGCGGAGGACCTCTCGGGCGCATTGCGGGACAGACTTGTATATCGAGCCGTGCATTTGCATGCGTTGTTTTATGACTGCGGGGTTCAGTAGACGCGGGACGCTGCGGTAATGTGCCTCTTACCGTCAAACGGATTCATCAATGCATCACTGGAAATGGTGGCTGCGGCACCGCTAGCAGCTATTGACAGTTAGCAAGTGCTCGCTAGAATGCTGATGGGAGTGGGCACTGCGCACCTGCTGCAAGAGGGTGGTGTTCGTGGCTCTCTCCTTCGTTTCCGCCGAGAGCATGCTTCGTGGCCTCGTACGATGCAAAATAGACAGCATGCGCGGGGCCTGTACAATCCGTCAGCTACACTTGGCCATGGTCTACGCAGTTGCCTTGCCTACCTGCACCCATTACAACACTAGACAAGCCTCTCCATAACGACCAGAACCCTTCGGCTCGGGATATGGTGACCATGGCGTTCGAAATACCACTATACATGGCGCTTGGCGAGGGGTTGACGATCTGCATTCTGGTCTGTCGACAGTCAGCGCATGGCTCGCAGGCTGCGAGGAAGTGAAAGGCATGTTGCGCACCTTGAGCAAATCTACTGGATACATCACCGAGTGTTCCTGTCGTCAAGTCAGTTGGGGCGAGTTCATGGATGGCGGCGACTCCGGAGGACGTACGGCGACACCCGCAAACGCGCCTGCGAGCATGTTCGCTGTGAGGGAGAAATTGGGTGGGAGTGCTTCATAGCTGGCGCGCAAGTTAGCGATTGGTGTCTTTCATGGCGGCGGTGCAATGGAGCTGTACTCGTGCTCTTCTTCGACAGGAACTGCT